AACTCTTTTAATATCCTTGTATTAAAGGAAGTGTTAAAAGAGGGGAAAATCCTTATTTTAAACTTAGACATGCTATTGTTTTCTCATGATACTGCAGCCTTCAAAACTGTTTTAAGCCCTTTTTTTTTTTTTTTTTTTTTGAGACAGAGTTTCGCTCTTGTTCTCCAGGCTGGAGTGCAGTGGCATGATCTCGGCTCACTGCGACCTCTGCCTCCCAGGTTCAAGCGATTCTCCTGCCTCAGCCTCCCTAGTAGCTGGGATTACAGGCATGCACTACCATGCCTACCATGCCCAGCTAATTTTGTATTTTTAGTAGAGACGGGGTTTCTCCATGTTGGTCAGGCTAGTCTCGAACTCCTGACCTCAGGTGATCCACTCCCCTTGGCCTTCCAAAGTGCTGGGATTACAGGCACGAGCCACCGTGCCCGGGCTAAAGCATATTATTATATCACATGCAGAGATTGTAATTTGCTCAACCCTCCTAACGTCTTGGAATTATGTCTGTTACAGAGAATATTTTAGTTAATGTGCTTAAGCACATTGAAAGGGGGCATTTCTCTTTTCAGTGGGTTTGCAGTGCAGGGGTACAACCACATGCACTGCTGCTTGCAACCAAATCAAATGCATGGTTTTGACCCAAAGCTCCAGCTTATGATGTCTCCAACAGCTGGTACGTATCTTCCCTGCTTCCTCTCCTGGTTCTTCAGGGTTATTGCCCTAAGGTCATCTGTGGAGGAAGGTGGCTATAAACTTCCGGTTCTTCCTTAGTTTAAGGGTAAGATTTATGGAGTGCTAAGCAGCCCTGGTCAACTATTTCTGAGGGTAGCAGTAGCAGCAGTCTGATGAGCTTGGTACTCACAGAGTAGTCAATCTCAGTTGCATCTCGTGTCAGCAGAGGGACAGGATCTACCTTGGACCCCACTAGACCATGACTGGAACCCATGTCTTCTGAGTTTGGACGGCTGTGCCTCTGAAGCCTACTTATGCTGGTAGATGCCAGGATAGTAGGCATTGTTTCTTCCTAGGCAGGGCTTGTCTTTTATAGCACCTTCTTCAAAAGGCACTTACTGTGCCAACCTACCTGCCTCTACCCTTTGGGGTGGGCATATGCATGGAGTGCATATGCATGGACTTGGCTGCACCTGCCTTGTCCTGAGCTGCCCAGGAGACCCACCTGTTCTTGGTGTGTGCAGCAACCACATGAGCAGATGTGGAAGTACATTTGGAATGCCTTGTCCTGAGTTGAGGTCTTGTAAAGAGTGTTTTCTTTTTTCTTATCTAGAGGTGACCTGAGGCCCTTGGTAATTAACTGCCCAGGACCAGCCTGCTTCTTGCCTCCTGTCTAGAGGAACAGGCCTCCAGCCTCCCCTTGGTGCTGCTCACAGAACAAGTCAGGAAAATGATCTCAAACCCGGGGTCCCTCAGCACCAACCTGGGAGTCTTAGGTGTGGAGGAAACTACTGAAAGTGTCACCTAAACTTACTGTTCTCCAGCTAAGGAAGTTGATAAAATACCAAGGTAAAATAATCAGCAAGGTAAAAAAGCTTCCAAACAGGATAAAGCCAGCAAATGGTAGGCACAGGATATGAACTCTGATCTGTGCCTCCAGAGCCCATGCATCTTCTATAGGATCACAGTCCCTGCCATCCCAGGTGCTGCTTGGAGAGGGCCCTCCCACAGCCTAGGGACCCCCAGCCCTTTTCTGGGCCTCCCTCATAGCCACCCACCCAGCTGTCTCACAGGCCCAAGGAGCCAGATAGAGCCAGCGGAAAAGTCCGAACCACCTTTAATACGGGTTACAAAAGTAGCAAAACCAGCTGAGGCTTAAGAGGAGGTGGAGTAGGGATCCAAAGGGCAGGACCACTCCTCACTGCCCACTTCCCTACCATATCCTGGGGCCTCTTCTGGAGGGGATGGGTGGGTGAGGGGAAGTGAATGGTGGCTGGATCTTCGGTTTTCTTCTCCAGAACAGAGCAGGCTGAGCCCAGCAACCCCAGGAAGCCCATGAAGGGAAAGATACATGAGATGGGGGTACGGGAGCACCAGAGCAGGCTCCGAGGAGCCAGGCT